TCTAGAACATGACATTTTGTGGTAAAAACGTTGGTTATTTTGTATAAAAAATTTGCCAAAAATAATGCAAAATATTTCTTTTTTTAAATCCTACAAACTTTCTTAAGTTAAAAAGACTTCTGGTTGTATCAAGTCCCCTCTGCTAAATCTGTTTGTTTGAGTATTGATTGAGTCTTGTGTGTTTGGGTTCATTCACAGCTGAAGTTCTGGTTTTAAAGAAATGAAAACTGCGTCTCACTACTGCCATTATGTCTCCAGATTAAACGTGTTCCTCCAATCGGGCGGAATTTTTCTCGAAAGCTGTAAAGCTGGATCAAAACATCAAAGCCGCACTTGAAGGCATGGAGGTGGCTAACGTTAAATGCTAATTATAGGCTTGTTTTAAATGTCGCACGGCGGCCTAACTATAGCTGACGCACACCGCTCTAATCCATATTAATCCGACATGACAGAGGCAAGAACCCACAATCGATGCTTCTCATTGATCTGTGCCCAACTCCCAGAGCAACAACTCTACCGCCACAGAGCACACACAGCCATCATCTGCACGCTGTCACGATGAAAATACTGAATGGACTGCATTTCAAAGAAGACATTTCATATATAATTTTAGTCCATCAAAAATGGTAACTTTCCTTTGTCATTTCATGTTTGGGAATGTTGGACAAAGAGAATTATTCCCGCAAACCGTCTTACATGCAAACACACACGGAGTGTGCCGTTTTGCCGTTACGCCTTCATCAAGAAAATATGAGAAGTGCACCAGGAAGTCATCTTTAGAAAGGGTGGGGCAGGCACCCAAGGGTGTACATTCACCACACCTGGAGCATGTATGTATACATATATAGTATATGTATACACATATATATACATACATATATATATATATATACACATATATATACATACATATATATATATACACATATATATACATACATATATATATACATAATATGATATATTAAAGTACCCACGTTTAGCAATGAACCTTCTTGAGATTTTAATTCTGTCAATTAGACTGCTCCATCATCAAAACAGAACTTAGCCTCCAGATCTTTCTCCAAAGTATGTTCTTTACAACTTTCACTTTCTTTTTGTACCCAGGGGCCAAAATGGATACATTTTTTTGTTTTTTTGTATATTAAGACAAATCTGCAGATTGCAATCTCAATAGAAGGAGATCATTGATACCCAAATAAAAATGGACAGGCACCAAAGGTTTGGTAGTAACAGAAGAAAAGAAGGAATGCACACAACAGATAGTAAAAAGAGATAGTATAGAAGAACAGGTACACAGTTTAGAAGGACAGGTACACAGTTTAGAAGAACAGGTACACAGTTTAGAAGAACAGGTACACAGTTTAGAAGAACAGGTACACAGTTTAGAAGAACAGGTACACAGTTTAGAAGAACAGATACACAGTTTAGAAGCTCAGGTACACAGTTTAGAAGAACAGGTACACAGTTTAGAAGAACAGGTACACAGTTTAGAAGAACAGGTACACAGTTTAGAAGAACAGGTACACAGTTTAGAAGAACAGGTACACAGTTTAGAAGAACAGGTACACAGTTTAGAAGAACAGGTACACAGTTTAGAAGAACAGGTACACAGTTTAGAAGAACAGATACACAGTTTAGAAGAACAGGTACACAGTTTACCCGGGATCGTGTAGCTTAGCTGGAGTTGTTTCCGTTCTCATCAGGTGGCCGGGACAACACTGATATTGCCCACGCTCTTCAGTGAAAGTGCTGCCTCCTTCAATTGCAGTAAACTCAGGGATAAGTGTGTTACGGTGGCTGGACAAACTCATCACTTGGGTCCACTTAGTCACACAATTGTTTAGAGCAGAAGGTTCTGCCGTAGACTGCAGACTCAGCGGGGAACCACTTTGACTTCAGTCCGTGACCTGACAACAGCGGCGTTTCTCTTTCACAACGTAAATAGTCATTTAAACACTACGGAACATGCAATTATTGGAACTTTCATGACTGCTATTGTTGTGTCCTTGGGCAAGACACTTAACCCCACTTTGCCTGAAGTCCCCACTGAAAGATCTCAGCTCCTGTGGACTCAGCACCTGCAGGAGGATCAGTGAGGGGCTGGTGCTCTGTGGACTGGGTGCAGCTCTGACTGCCACCCCCCCGACCCAGAAATGGATTAAGGGGAAGAAAATGGATGGATGGATGGAACCCTCATGAGGAACAATAGTCATTGACCTGGAGTTCCTGGAGTTGTTTTAAGATTCATCCACTTTCAGGAATTTATGGCACAAGCATGTAACTCCACACCTTCTCCCATCAAAAAGCGATTTGACAGTATTTAAATATTTGTGCCACAATTCAATATCGCGATACAAATATTGCAATTGGATTCTGGGTTATATTGTGATTCATGTTCCTCATATTATTCTATTATAAGGCATTTTGAAAATTAGGTCACATTCTTTATGGTCTGCACATGAACTGAAGGGTCACAGACAAGACCCTTTCATTCTCATGAAAGGTGATTATTCAGATACAGTAGACTCACTACAGCAGGGGTCTCCAACCTGTGGCTCGCTAGCCTCTTTCAGGTAGCTCCCCAAAGGATTTAGAATTTAACAAATGATCTTGAATGCATATGTTGTTAGTCAATTCCTATCTTTTATAAGTATAAATTTAGGGTTATAGAGAATTATGGTATATTTATGTGTTCTTTATGTTTTTCCCTAATTATTACATAGAGATTTTTATTACGACTGCCAAAAGGAGTAGCTCTCTGCCTCTTTTTTTTTGCATAAAGTAGCTTTCCTATTGAAAAAGGTTGGAGACCCCTGCACTAGAGGAACAAAATACAGACATAAGAGTAACTTAAACCTCAGATGTAACTTACCAGAGTAAATTACAGAGTAGTAAGTGAAACAAATGATTATTTAATTGCCCCTACATTACTTTTGGTAAGTTCTCATTGGACATCTTTACAATCACATGGCATGTTTTCACATTTCCAAATTTGAAAAGAAAAACAAATATATATTCAACCCCTGTGTAGCCAAGCGCAGGCCAATAGCAGACATGTGCCATATAGATATTACATATAATAAAACATAAAACGGTCTTCATGACGTCATAGATTGAATATTCGTCTTGAGACACCACCACCAAGAGACAATATTCACACACAGCTGATGTCGGTCAGTAGCAAGGACTTTCATAACTAAAGGGAGGGTGGTATATACCCAATAATCGTCTTTTTCTTTCAAAAAAACACTTATCTCCCATGGATTATTGGTGCCTGCCCTCCATCTGAACCAGAACGCAACCTTTATGAAAGTTCTATCACCCAAAACACCCACATTCAATCTCACGCACAAATCCATGACCAGCTGTGATCTGACATGATAGTGTTCTTATCGTGTCTGTCCGGGTTAGAGCAGAAGTCCAGGATACGTGGAGCCTGCATGCTTTGTAGTGTTGGCTTCAGTCTGTGGGAAAAAGCCTGTGTTCTTAGCGGATCTGTGTGGACGCCGAGGACATGGGACAGTACTGATCCTTCCGATTGATTGGACGCAGTGTTGATCTTGCCGTATGCTTTTGCAGACATTCAATTATACGGCTGGGTGCTCGGTTTGCTTTGGAGCCTGTTCTCTCCATCACGGTGTATACATAGGCTGAAGAACTGCTGCCGAATTAATGGAAGAAAATCCTTCTTTGTCCCTCTCTTGTACATTGCGGTTGCCGTTGTTAAAGCTAATAATTAAACTAGTTCTTCACATGCATGCAATTTTGGTCTTTGTCAAATCCTATATCTATAAGAAACATGAACAAGACAGGACCACTCTAGTTCAATACAAAATATTTCTAAACATGTTGTATTTGTTGTTGGCACGTTTCAATGATCAGTGTGGTGAGGAGGGAGCTGAGTTGAATGGCAAAGCTCTCAATTGTCGGGTCAATCTACATTCCCACCCTCACCTTTGGTCACGAGCTCCGGGTTCTGAGGAGAGGTGGAGATCTTTGTGGGTGCTCCCCTAGAGCTCCCTGAGAGTCAGAAGTGCTGTCACACGGGAGGAGCTCGGAATAGAGCAACTTCTCCATGTCAAGAGGAGACATTTGAGGTGGCTTGGACATCTGTTTGTGATTCATCCTGGACGCCCAATAGCTTTTTATACAAGACTCTTTCTGTTGTCACAAACTACATGTTGTTCTTCATGGAAAAAAAGGTTAGGTTCCCGGGCTGCAGAATAATTAGATATTTGTCCTCGTAAACTACAGACACTATCAGGGACAATTGTGGTCATGTGTTCCATATACAGCCTCCCCTGTGTGAGAACTTATCAGGTGTAAATCCTGCTAAAGAGGAGGCACTTCTCTTAATGAAACCACAAAACATGTAACATACTGTTGGATATGTCCATGTTCTGACACGTTTTTTCTTGTTTTCATTTAAAAAGGAGCAGCTTCATGTGTGTTCTATTGTTTCAAAGGACTTCAAAGCACTATAGTCCCAGAATTGAATACTTGTGAAAGGTCGTAATATGTTGGATATTATGTATATTTGTACATGTTACACGTTTAGTACAATAGTTTGATGCCCTTTTGCCACATTGTGTATGAAACTTTAGCCTACACTGTGGCGCTACCTGCATGTGACCTTTTAACTAGGCACAGTGGCTGTGAAGAGTCAAACTGTCATTGTGTCCTTAGGCAAGACCCACATTGCCTAGAGTGAGTCTGATGTGTGAATGGTTGGTGGTGGTGGGAGGGGCCCCAGTGAGCCCCAGGGCAGCTGTGGCTACAGTGATAGTTTATAACCACTGTGTATGGCGTGAATAAAAAAATGACTATGAGTGTCCAATAATATGCTATATAAACCGATACATTAACATTTTACATTTCTGAATGCATTTCTGAATTTTTTCCTTGCTGTTGTTTACCAATGATCGAAATATGTAGCGTATCTTCAAAACTAATCTGTTCTTAAACTTGTTATGACGACTTCACCCTCAGAATCTCATATGGCGGACAGGTCAGTATTTTGATGGTTAAAACTAAAGTATTGCCTCTAAATGACTTTGGGGGTAGTCCATTCTTTAGAACTGCGATACAACTATGTTAGAATGTAATACCCCATTTCATCCTCTAGATGGCTCTGGTTCTCATTACAGTCATACATATCTTCTAATCATGAAATTCTGGTAAATTGTTTCAAGATCATGTTTAAGTGTCTCTGAAAAGTGAAAAGAGGAAGTGTTCCAACCCAGCAGCACACTTATAGAGCAGCTTTTCTGCACACAAACATGACTCAGGGTGGATTACATCAGCTCTCATTACCTCCGCATTAGACGGAGTGGTTTGTCCTGAGTGCTGACAGGGTCTCTGTCCCACCGCACTCTCCGGCCCTCCTCTCGTCTGAGCCCGGCCTGAAGCAGCTCTGTGTGGCCTCTGGATTCACTCATTGGAGGCACCTTATTCTTTTATTTTTTTCTAAAGTAAACCTGCACTTTTTTGTATTCAGTATTTTTCATTCAAAGACTTTATAAATAATTTTCTGTGTATTTCAATGAGTCATTTGGATATGGCTCGTGCATTTCCTTTTTGGTAATTCATTTTCAATAGTTTTAAGTATAATCAACCAACGTATTCACCAGGGCACTGGTGAATACGGCTTAAGTACATATTATACAGTTGTTCTTTACACAAATTCGTCACTGACTTGTCGGCTAATTGAAAAAATAATTGTTGACTGGTCGACGACTAAAACAATTGTTAGTGACAGCAGTGGTTTGTGTGGCAGCATCATCTCAATGTCACAGGCGCTGTAACCAGATCCACGTGTGCCAAACTCATCATGTTCACATTTCACGCTGCTTAGATCCGTGAGCACAGACGAGCCCACATGAGCACAGACGAGCCCACATGAGCACAGACGAGCCCACATGAGCACAGACGAGCCCACATGAGCACAGACGAGCCCACATGAGCACATTCAGGACACCAGTCGTCCTAATGGTTCAACTCTCAGTGCATTTAGAGGAAAGAAAATGGAATAATTGGCTTTGTGCAAGTCTTCTCCGTGGCGGGGCATGGCTCTATGTCAGGGGCGAGAGATCACAGAAAACATGTGTCATTAATCCCCTGTCTTTCTGAGGTTTAATAAATGAATGAAATACACATATCTGTGTATTTGGACTGAAACAGCAGAAAAACTGTTCTCTAACACTTCTGCTATCCTCGTGTCAAAATGACCAGTCTCGATGATTATCAAAATTCCTGTTCTTCAAGCTGAATTTTGATGATCTTTCCAAATTGGACCAGCTCTGGGTCATTTAGGCGCTGATTTAGTGAATTTCTCATACTTGTAATCACTGTTTTCTTCTACTCTAATACTCTCATCTCAACCCGAGAGTAGCATTAACAAGCGGGGCTGACCAGCGGCTTTGCGTGTAACCCAATAAGCAGGAATTCAATATGATTCTCCCCAACCTTACAGTGGTTATGCCAAGGAGAGAACTGTACAAATGAAAGTTACTGACATGAGCTTTAAAAACACATGTTTCATTGTTGAATCGAGAGCTAAAGCTTCGCCAGAGCGTGTAATTGAGCTGTGGAAAGCAAACGGGTTGTGCTGCAGCAGTTTGTGTGGAAATCAGTATCAAAGTAAACAAGGTCGTTGCTGGACTATCTTTGCCAAAGTGTGTACTGCTTTAGAGAGTTATTGTTATGAGCAATAACAACAGCTACAAGTTACAATAATGAAAAAGACTGATCACTCAAAGATCCTCAGACTGCAAAGGAAGTTAGCAATCAGTGGAATTTCACCCTCTGGGTAAAAAGGCACACACTCAGTCAGCATAATAAGTTGAAGAGTGAAGAATGTTCTGAAAGCATGTGCGAGTTTGTGAATGACAAAGGAAAACAACTCTGAAATGGTCAAAAAGTTGAAAAGTGAAAGAAAGAATACCATACGAAGCTGTCAAAGACTCACTTTGAGGATGTTTGGGTAAAATTGGAGACACACTGCTTGAATTCAAACAAAGGAGGACTTAACAATCTGATTAGAAGTTTGTCCTTCCTGGAGCCTTTCCCACTCGCCCTCTCCCCTCCTCCCCTCCTCCCCTCCTCCCCTCCTCCCCTCCTCCCCTCCTCCCTTCCTCCCCTCCTCCTCCCTTCCTCCCCTCCTCCCTTCCTCCCCTCCTCCCCTCCTCCTCCCCTCCTCCCTTCCTCCCCTCCTCCCTTCCTCCCCTCCTCCTCATCTCCACCCTCCTCCATCACTGGTCCATCCGCTCTCTGGATGATGGTAATTAGACCCTTAGCTCTGATTGGAGCTGGGCTGAAAGTTGAGGAAACCAGAGCTTTTCTAATCAAAAGCTCTCAGGGCCTGAATTCACAAGTGAGGAACAACAGCACTCATTGGTTTGAAGTGGTTCTGTCCCATTTTGCATTTGCCCCGATGCAGATGTGTCCCTTATTGTCATCTGTTGGTTGAGTGGCATTTGAGTGTGCATGTGTGGGAGAGAGCTGCCTGGGCGAACAAGGTCATGGAAAAAAGGCCCTGACAATATTGATCTTGTTGCACTTTGAATCTGCCATTTCTATTTTTCTTGCTTTTTCTACCTGAGATGTCACTGCAGTGCATGGACCAGAGCAGCGAAGGTTCATAGGAGGCTAACTTTTGGAAAATGCTAATAGAGTAGAATAGAATAGAATGAGGAAGCATTCAGCGTTTTACTTTGGACTAGAGCAGAGAAAATGGTCCGAACCAAGCGGCTACTCCACCTTGTGACCTGTCCTGCTCCACCCAGAGGCTACTCCACCTCTGCTGCTGTGACCCGTCCTGCTCCACCCAGAGGCTACTCCACCTCTGCTGCTGTGACCCGTCCTGCTCCACCCAGAGGCTACTCCACCTCTGCTGCTGTGACCCGTCCTGCTCCACCCAGAGGCTACTCCACCTCTGCTGTTGTGACCTGTCCTGCTCCACCCAGAGGCTACTCCACCTCTGCTGCTGTGACCCGTCCTGCTCCACCCAGAGGCTACTCCACATCTGCTGCTGTGACCTGTCCTGCTCCACCCAGAGGCTACTCCACCTCTGCTGCTGTGACCTGTCCTGCTCCACCCAGAGGCTACTCCACCTCTGCTGCTGTGACCCGTCCTGCTCCACCCAGAGGCTACTCCACCTCTGCTGTTGTGACCTGTCCTGCTCCACCCAGAGGCTACTCCACCTCTGCTGCTGTGACCCGTCCTGCTCCACCCAGAGGCTACTCCACATCTGCTACTGTGACCTGTCCTGCTCCACCCAGAGGCTACTCCACCTCTGCTGCTGTGACCCGTCCTGCTCCACCCAGAGGCTACTCCACCTCTGCTGCTGTGACCTGTCCTGCTCCACCCAGAGGCTACTCCACCTCTGCTGCTGTGACCTGTCCTACTCCACCCAGAGGCTACTCCACCTCTGCTGCTGTGACCCGTCCTGCTCCACCCAGAGGCTACTCCACCTCTGCTGCTGTGACCTGTCCTGCTCCACCCAGAGGCTACTCCACCTCTGCTGCTGTGACCCGTCCTGCTCCACCCAGAGGCTACTCCACCTCTGCTGCTGTGACCCGTCCTGCTCCACCCAGAGGCTACTCCACCTCTGCTGCTGTGACCTGTCCTGCTCCACCCAGAGGCTACTCCACCTCTGCTGCTGTGACCCGTCCTGCTCCACCCAGAGGCTACTCCACCTCTGCTGCTGTGACCTGTCCTGCTCCACCCAGAGGCTACTCCACATCTGCTGCTGTGACCTGTCCTGCTCCACCCAGAGGCTACTCCACCTCTGCTGCTGTGACCCGTCCTGCTCCATCCAGAGGCTGCTCCACATCTGCTACTGTGACCTGTCCTGCTCCACCCAGAGGCTACTCCACCTCTGCTGCTGTGACCCGTCCTGCTCCACCCAGAGGCTACTCCACCTCTGCTGCTGTGACCCGTCCTGCTCCACCCAGAGGCTACTCCACCTCTGCTGCTGTGACCTGTCCTGCTCCACCCAGAGGCTACTCCACCTCTGCTGCTGTGACCTGTCCTACTCCACCCAGAGGCTACTCCACCTCTGCTGCTGTGACCTGTCCTGCTCCACCCAGAGGCTACTCCACATCTGCTGCTGTGACCTGTCCTGCTCCACCCAGAGGCTACTCCACCTCTGCTGCTGTGACCTGTCCTGCTCCACCCAGAGGCTACTCCACCTCTGCTGCTGTGACCTGTCCTGCTCCACCCAGAGGCTACTCCACCTCTGCTGCTGTGACCTGTCCTGCTCCACCCAGAGGCTACTCCACCTCTGCTGCTGTGACCTGTCCTGCTCCACCCAGAGACTACTCCACCTCTGCTGCTGTGACCTCAAGAACTGTTGATTATTATTACTATTGCTAGCGTTTTAGAATTATTATTTTTATTTTTCTATTTGCTGCTACTGAACACCTGAATTTCTCCTATGGGGATCAATAAAGTATCTATCTATATATAATAGACATGGATAGACCTGGATAGACCTGGATAGACCTGGATAGACCTGGATAGACCTGGATAGACCTGGATAGACATGGATAGACATGGATAGACATGGATAGACATGGATAGACATGGATAGACATGGATAGACACGGATAGACACGGATAGACCTGGATAGACATGGATAGACATGGATAGACATAGGTTAATTCATTATGATATGGACCAGTGACTTTTTGGTGTTTTATTGTTGCATTTAGTGATCTAATTTCTGAAGTTTTTATGTTATAAATGTTTTGGGAAAAAACAAAACTATATTGAATTGAATTGAATGATCAAGGATATCAAATGGAAGTGCCTACTAGATGTATTATTCACATGGTAAATAAACAGTGTGCACTATAGAGGTATGTCAGTGGAACATACTAGCTCAGTACATTTCAGCACTTTCATCTCTTGCGAATGCACTGCCAGACAGAAAGTTGCTGAAGATAAATCACAGTATGATACTGTGCTGTTATCTCCACCTTGAGTGACATTTTCACGGTATGTTGTTTTACCCTAGTGCATACTAGACTTGTCTTCACTTGACGCTGTTCTTCACGTTTGGCTCACTCTGGAGGAGCCCTCTGCATTGGGAGCTGAAGTCAGCTGGAGGTCTGAGGTCTTTATCTGTTCTCTGGGTCCAGTGTAGTGTCCTGCGGTCACAGTCTGATCCAGGATGACATCCCCTAACGTCTTCTCTTCACTGAATAAGTTTGATTGGTTTTAAACTATTTTATTGTGAATGAGTCTGGTATCTGGGTTTCTTGGATTGGGTCTGGATTGCTGTGAAATTGTTTTGAATCCATTTTAAAGACATTGTTTATTATTATTTGTATTTATATTTTTTGATTGGTCGACACACACCACTTTTCATTCTCCCCAAAACATTTCTTCAAAATGATGACAATAATATTAATAATGCATTGGTTTTATACAGCGCATTTCAGAACATTCAAAGACGCTGCACATGTCATTCTTCTTTAACTCCATACACGGTGGTGATAAACTTCTACTGTAGCCACAGCTGCCCTGGGGCACACTGACAGAAGCGAGGCAACCAGTCTGTGCCATCAACCATTCACACATGCATCAGACTCATTTTGGGCAATGTCGGTGAAGTGTCTTGCCTAAGAACACAACGACAGTTTGGCACTTTACAGCCAGAGCCACCCCACTATGGCACCTGGTGTTCCCAGAGGTCTCCCATCACAGTATTTACCACGCCCTGCCCTGCACAGCTTCAGAGGTCTGATGGGATCTGGCTTTTGCATGCACAGTTCGGCCACTCATGAAGGGATCGATTGATAGCAGAACATTAACATTTACCAAACTGGTGGAATTGTTTGTGGGATGGTATAACCCAAGTTTATAGCATGTTCTGGTGTTATAAACTGATTTAATGTAGGATTTAGGGGTGTTCCAAAGTGCTTCCAAAATGCCTTTTGCGGTTCAGTCTATGCGTTTTCTGCTTATTCTATGACAATAAGCTCTTTGAATCGACGAACTCTGGAATGTTCAATCTGCATGCATGATGATCCTCTTGTACTTTCCTGCATGATGCTTTGTGAACGAGGGGTCGCTAATTTTTTTTTTCCTTCTCCTCTGCCTCTTTCCCACTCACTCTACCCCCAGGAGCTGCCCAGTTCGCAGGTAAGGGCCCCACCTCGCCACATCCTTGTCCACACCTAGTACTATATTAACATCTTTACAGCCGCCTTGAATAAGTTGTAAAAAGCCATTTTGAAACAGTCCTTTAACTAGCTGTAAATCAGATGTCACACCGGTTCCTGAAAGGGCCAGTGAGGCTCCAGGTTTTAGTTCCAGGAGCACATCATTCCTCAAATCTTCAGGTTATAACTACCTCACCTTACGACATACCTGCTCCTGCCCAGCTTGGAACTAAAACCTGCAGCCTCACCGACCCTTTCTGGAACCGATTTGACAAAGCTGCTGCAAAGGCTTCAATAAAAATTAAAAATTGTGTCAATAATGACAAAGATAGAGTTGCCTGTAACATAGAACATGGGGTTCAAAAACTTTTAAAGCAGGGACCCCAACATAATTTCAATGAAAGTTGTACGTACTTTCATTTCAAGGAACTGCTTGGTGGCACTCCTAAACCAAAATTATATATTTTTTTTAAAAATCACTAAACTAATCATGTATAGAGAAATGCTCTAATCTTTTCATTTCAAATCATATCTTTAATTTTGTGACTTATTTACGGCTGTTTCTCACAATTAGAAAAACTTAGAAACAATTGAACATCTAGATTACATTCACAGTATTTTATCACGTTTCAACTGAGGTATTTTGTGAGTTTTAGACGACAATTTAGAATCATCACAATGATCATAATTAATGACGTGTATTCTGTGCTAGATGTTCCATTGTGTGCAGAGCCATAGACTGTACTGACCCTCCCCCTCTGTCTTGTTCCTCATGTTCTTACTAAGCTCTACTCTACTCTAGTCATGATGCAAACATGATCTTAATCTCAGAACACGTGGCGTTTCACCTGGTGTCCATGTTGTATAAGTTGAGAAGATACTAAAGTCACTAAAAGTGAATTCAATACTTCACAATGTTTCTGTCGATGCACAGCAGTTGGCTGACCAAAGTAGTGCACTTTGGGGCCTTTTTGATCTCGATATTGATGCGAGGGTTCCTATAATCTTCTAACCATTACATTTAACTACAACAAAACAAACATACCAACAATCCAAGCAGACACGCAAAAAACATGTTGATTGCTGAATGCATCCAATCTACACACCATTTTGTCATTAGTCATTTTAAGTCTGGGTTGAGCTGTCTGCATTACTGACTCATTGTACGAGCTCATTTTCCCGTTCCATGTTTTGCTACCAGAGTAATTAAATTTAAAAGGAAAATAATCCCAAGACACACACACATAATATTCCTCAACGATGTTTCAAAGTGTGTGTGTTTACGATGCCAGAAGGAAGAGCGTAAATGTTTAATAAGGCCATAATAATGTGATCGCAGCCATATAAAACTGTGTCTCTGAGGCAACAGTGAGACAGACCAGTGACTGCAGAAGGCTCAGACGGGGCACTGCAGCGTCACTGAAAGGAGAATACCTTGTTTTTATCTCCAGCCATGCTAATATGAGTGCTACATCTTCTGATACAAATTAGTGAGATGAAAGACGCAGGAATGCAAAAATACGGATTTAATGAAGACGATGAAATAAAAATGCAGGGAAAAATTACTCAAAAATCCAAATGAAACACAGGAACCACAAAAACAACCAAATAAGAAGATGCAAAGACATTGACAATGGACCAGCAACATGTACACACAGAGAGAGGCTGGTGAAACACATTAGGGCGGGGCAGACGGTCAACCACGGGAACAGGACAGGAAGTAAAAGTAAACTAAAACCACAGAGAAATTAAGTCAAAATAACAAAACATTCCAGACCGTGACACTGACCTTAAACAATGCTGTGACAATGTCCTTTAACCATGATGTCCTGTACAGAACTGTTTTGACCACAAATGAGTTTTGGAAATTACATTATTTACAATCACAGCAACATTTAGAATAAAACAAAAATTAGCATAATGATAGAGGAGGCAGATAGCATTAATACTTGTTTCATAATCATTTTCTACGGAAGACATTATCTCACGTTCTAAAAACTGAAATGACAAAGTGAACAGTGTCTTTATCATTCTCAATAGACAAAAATAATGTGTTATATTTCTTCATTAACCCATTAGAATTTAACTTGTGCATTCAGGAGCTAGTGCCCTGTTTGAGCTCCTGTCCTGGGCATTCTTCTACTTTAAACAGCAAACCTCACCTCGTAGCTGTGCTCCTTGGCAGAAGCTGGAAGCAGGTCAGAGTTGATTGACAGCTGACAACATGTTAAGGATAAAATATAAAATATATATAAAATATATATACAAAGATAAGAACTGTTAAGATAGAAATGAAAATGATAGAAATGAAATGACTGAGACCACTAAAGTAGTAATGGCGTCTGCCGGTATCAGAGGTGCGCTCGTGGCCCTTCAGGTATACCTTATTCTGTGCTTTCTCGCCACACCAATGATGCCTGGCGAGCTACATCAGGAGAGATGTTATCTAAATTCTGATCTTTCACAATCTGATGCCAAGCACTTTGGGCATGGCGCACATACTCTTGCAGACTTTGTGAGACCAGGCCGCCTAAACAAACACCTCAGAGCTGTGCCTAAACTGCAACAGAGCGATGCACTTGTCGCGGTAATGTGTCTCCTGCTGGCCGGGGATATCCACCTGTGCCCTGGCCCGCTTGGACCTGTCTACAGTAGCTCCAATGACAACGCATCAATCCATCAGTCCACAATCTGGCACGAGAGCCCGATAACGCGCGCTAATACCAACAAGCAAACCAACCAGCAGACTAACCTGGGGAGCTGCTCTGGGGTCCCCGATGGGCCCAAATCGGGTCCGATCCGGTGTGGAGGTGCCAGTGCAATCTGTGGACCAGTGCGCTTGGCTACCCTGGTACGGGAACCAGATCGGGCAGCGGACGGAGCGAAGCAAGGCAGCGTGGACAGCAGCGTGGGCATGACAGTGGGGAGCCCTCCCGGGGCAGTTGTTCCAATGACGGTAGGCTCCCTGGCTCCATCGGTGGCAGGTAGAAGTCGGTCCTCGACCGGTGAACGCGGGGGTCACGCGCATGGGACTATTGCGGAGAGCGACGTCAAGTTACCGGAAAATAACGTCAACAAAAGAAACCGGAAACGCCTCAATCCCGCAATAATAAAGCACCGGAAATGTAGGGTGTTTCAGACTGTTAATAATTCCAGGCTAATATGGGACCCAAAGTCAAAACCAAAAGGCATCTTATGTGGACATTAAAACATACGCAGCCTCAGGTCAAAAAGTGACCAAGTTCAGCACATTCTCAATGACTCTAATATTGACTTCCTTTGCCTTTCTGAAACATGGCTTCATGAATCATCTCCTTCAGCCATGTTATCTGTACCTGGGTATAATATTTTCAGGAGAGACAGAAGGGGTGCTAAAGGAGGTGGCGTTATGATTTATGCGAAAGACACTTTTAAATGTAATGAAATACAAGTCACAAATGAAAATGAACTGGAATTTCTTAGTTTAAATGTAACCTTGTCACCGCAAATGTCTTTCACTTTAGTTGTTATCTATAGACCCCCTTCATCAAATGCAGACTATTACGACAAACTGGATTTGTTGCTAAAGCAATTAAAACACATGAAAGAGTTAATTGTTATGGGTGATTTTAATATAAATTGGGAAGATAACAAAGCAAGGAAAGGTTTAAAAAAAGTTATGGATGAAATCAACATGACCCAGGTAGTTAATGGCCCAACAAGAATTACGAATCTGACGAGTACTCAAATTGACTTGGCTTTCACTAATAGGACAGAAAGGATCTTAAAATAATTTAACTTGCTCATTGGACTGTCTGATCATAATTTCATAATGGTGTCCAGAAAACTAAACAATAAGAGATTCAAACCATTGCCTGCCACAGAATTCCTCAGAATACCAAAAAATGAACAACAAAACTTTAAAAATGAAATCCAACAAACAAATTGGGAGGAATTTATCAATGGATTAAATTTAGACCATGACTGTTCCAAATTCTCAGACAAAATTAATATAATTATTACTAAATTTACACAAAAAATTAAACTAAAAGCCAAGAAGAACTGTCTCCCTTGGTTAAACGAGTCCATTCTAAACCTGCTAAAAGAACGGGACAAAGCCCTAAAGGTGGCTGTCGGAAGTGGATTCAACAGACTTCAGTTCGTTTCCCTAAGAAACAAGGTGGTGAAAGAAATTAGAAAAGCTAAAGCCAATTTCTTCATTGCAGCGTTGAATTCTGCAAGGGGAAATTCAAAAATGATCTGGGATCAAATGAAAAAAATGACTGGTAACCATCATAACAAAACTTGCAAACAAATGGAAATCAATCTAAACGGAAACATCCTACGGGAGCCAAAGTCAATGGCTGATGCTTTTAATAATTATTTCATCAACTCAGTGGCCGAAATTTCGAAATGTTTGTCTACACATACGCAAAAATTTGATTTAAACCCACCTCAATTTGTAACACAATCCTTTTCCATCTCAAACATAACTGAGACCAAAGTTAAAAATATCATTAGGGCCCTTAGATCCTCTAAAGCTAAGGACGTCTTTGGGATGGATACCACCATGCTTAAAGAGCTTGGCTCAGCTCTAGCTGCTCCCATTGCCGCCATTATCAATTTTTCAGTCTCAACCGGCCAGTTTCCAAATGCATGGAAATCTGCAATAGTCACTCCAATATTTAAATCTGGCAACCCAAACTCATTACATGACTATCGACCAATAAGCATTCTTCCAGCCATCTCCAAAGTGATTGAGAAATGGGTATCAGAGCACATAGTCCAACATCTAAACAGCAACTCCCCTTCTCTCCACCCCATGCAGTTTGGATTTAGACCCAAACACTCAACAGAGATGGCCACTTGCCTTTTTATTGAGAAAATAAAATCTTCTCTGGACATGGGGGGTGTAGTGGGGGCGGTATTCTTGGACCTCAGGAAAGCCTTTGACACCCTAAATCATGCTGTTCTCTGCTCAAAGCTCCCATATTTCAACTTCTCTGGTACAATGGTGAATTGGGTGGAATCTTATCTACACGGCCGAAGTCAGTGTGTGGCGATAAATACAGTGCCTTGCGAAAGTATTCGGCCCCCTTGAACCTTTCAACATTTTGCCACATTTCAGGCTTCAAACATAAAGATATAAAAATTAAATTTTTTGTCAAGAATCAACAACAAGTGGGACGCAATCGTGAAGTGGAACGAAATTTATTGGATAATTTAAACTTTTTTAACAAATAAAAAACTGAAAAGTGGGGCGTGCAATATTATTCGGCCCCTTGCGCTAATACTTTGTAGCGCCACCTTTTGCTGCAATTACAGCTGCAAGTCGCTTGGGGTATGTCTCTATCAGTTTTGCACATCGAGAGACTGGAATTCTTTCCCATTTTTCCTTGCAAAACAGCTGGAGCTCAGTGAGGTTGGATGGAGAGCGTTTGTGAACAGCAGTCTTCAGCTCTTTCCACAGATTCTGGATTGGATTCAGGTCTGGACTTTGACTTGGCCATTCTAACACCTGGATACGTCTATTTGTGAACCATTCCATTGTAGATTTGGCTTTATGTTTTGGATCATTGTCCTGTTGGAAGATAAATCTCCGTCCCAGTCTCAGGTCTTTTGCAGACTCCAACAGGTTTTCTTCCAGAATGGTCCTGTATTTGGCTCCATCCATCTTCCCATCAATTTTAGCCATCTTCCCTGTCCCTGCTGAAGAAAAGCAGGCCCAAAGCCTGATGCTGCCACCACCATGTTTGACAGTGGGGATGGTGTGTTCAGGGTGATGAGCTGTGTTGCTTTTACGCCAAACATATCGTTTTGCATTGTGGCCAAAAAGTTCGATTTTGGTTTCATCTGACCAGAGCACCTTCTTCCACATGTTTGGTGTGACTCCCAGGTGGCTAGTGGCAAACTTTAAATGAGACTTTTTATGGATATCTTTGAGAAATGGCCACTCTTCCATAAAGGCCAGATTTGTGCAGTGCACGACTGATTGTTGTCCTATGGACAGACTCTCCCACCTCAGCTGTAGTTATCTGCAGTTCATCCAGAGTGATCATGGGCCTCTTGACTGCATCTCTGATCAGTCTTCTCCTTGTTTGAGATGAAAGTTTGGAGGGACGGCCGGGTCTTGGTAGATTTGCAGTGGTCTGATACTCCTTCCATTTCAATATAATTGCTTGCACAGTGCTCCTTGAGATGTTTAAAGCTTGGGAAATCTTTTTGTATCTAAATCCAGCTTTAAACTTCTCCACAACAGTATCTCGGACCTGCCTGGTGTGTTCCTTTGTCTTCATGGTTCTCTCTGTGCTTTAAACAGAACCCTGAGACTATCAAAGAGCAGGTGCATTTATACGGAGACTTGATTACACACAGGTGCATTCTATTTATCATCATCAGTCATTTAGGACAACATTGGATCATTCAAAGATCCTCACTGAACTTCTGGACTGAGTTTGCTGCACTGAAAGTAAAGGGGCTGAATAATATTGCACGCCCCACTTTTCAGTTTTTTATTTGTTAAAAAAGTTTAAATTATCCAATAAATTTTGTTCCACTTCACGATTGTGTCCCACTTGTTGTTGATTCATGACAAAAAAATAAAATGGTATATCTTTATGTTTGAAGCCTGAAATGTGGCGAAATGCTGAAAGGTTCAAGGGGGCCGAATACTTTCGCAAGGCACTGTAACTGTATGTCTGAGCCACTTATGATTGCTACAGGAGTACCGCAGGGATCAATTTTAGGTCCCCTTTTGTTTAGCCTTTACATTAATGATTTGCCCACAGTCTGCCCTGAAGTTGACTGCATAATGTTTGCAGATGACACAGTCTTATTTTGTCATGGTCGCTCCAAAGATGTTGTGGCTGAGAAACTCACCAAATCAATGGAATGTGTTATGTCTTGGCTGAAAGACTGCTGCTTGCAGCTTAATGTTTCCAAAACGGTCTCCATGTTTTTTAGTAAAACTAGGAGTGCTTCTAAAGATCTGGTAATATATGTTGAAGGGGAAAAACTACAATCTGTCCCTCAGTATAAATATCTTGGACTGGTGATAGATTCACATCTCACTTTTAAAACACATGTTGAAAAGATGTGTAAAACAATCAAATTTAATCTTTCAAATTTCAGATCAATAAGATATGACATGTCAACTGAGGCCGCAAAACTTTTTTTAGATTCAATGATTTTTAGTCATTTTAATTATTGTTTAACAAGCTGGAGTCAAGCTAATAAGACTACTTTAAGACCACTAGAAATCTTATATAAGCAAGCCATCAAAGTAATGGATAAAAAGAGAAAATGTTATCATCACTGTTTAATTTAGGAAAAGTATTCCTTTCTAAGTTGGCCAGATCTTCATAAATTCTCAAATCTATGCTTAATATATAAAGCAACTCATAATTTGGCTCCCACTCCACTTGCAGGTCTGATAAGTCAAAGGAACAGTAGTGAGCGGCTCACTAGAGGCTCCGTGAGAGGCGACCGTGTGATCCCTCTGCGTAAGAGCACCTTCAGTCAGTCTGCCTGGTCCGTTAGAGGCACCAGAGAGTGGAACTCACTACCACAGACTGTTAGAGGCACCAGAGAGTGGAACTCACCACAGACTGTTAGAGGCACCAGAGAGTGGAACTCACTACCACAGACTGTTAGAGGCACCAGAGAGAGGAACTCACCACAGACTGTTAGAGGCACCAGAGAGTGGAACTCACCACAGACTGTTAGAGGCACCAGAGAGTGGAACTCACTACAGACTGTTAGAGGCACCAGAGAGAGGAACTCACCACAGACTGTTAGAGGCACCAGAGAGAGGAACTCACCACAGACTGTTAGAGGCACCAGAGAGAGGAACTCACTACAGTCTGTTAGAGGCACCAGAGAGAGGAACTCACTACAGTCTGTTAGAGGCACCAGAGAGTGGAACTCACCACAGACTGTTAGAGGCACCAGAGAGAGGAACTCACTACAGTCTGTTAGAGGCACCAGAGAGAACTCACTACAGTCTGTTAGAGGCACCAGAGAGGAGGAACTCACTACAGTCTGTTAGAG